TTCCTCGATATTTTATGAGAATGCGGTAAGTACTTTTAAAATTTGTCTTTAAGTTTTGTATATTGATATGAACTCTCTTTTAAAAAAAAAAAATAAAAAATAGATCGGAACAAGTGGATTTGTAAAATCGGATCCAATCTTCGAAGGGAGATTATCTAATTTTTTTGGTACTATGATGCAAAATTTTTTTTCCTCAAGACTTTTTGGGCAAACGAGTCCGATTAACAAGCTTCGTGAAATCCAATGTAAGAACTCTATCGATCATTTAGAAAACACAATAATTTCCTTAATTTATTTTCTTTGTTTTAGAATGTCACAGGTTGGGCTGGTATGTGGATGCGAATTGATACAAATATAACTCAAACTCTCGATAATATGTATTATCGACCTATCACTGGTAAGTTACTTGTTTGGTTATTTAAACAATTGGGGTTTTCTAATATTATTATTATTTATAGGCACTGTTGATTGGAAGAAATATGAAAGTATTTTAGATGTTCCCAATAATACGGTCAGTCTTCTCTTTGGGGTTTTATTATCTGGTGAGTCTTTTTTATAATAAATTAATCATAATGTAGCTGAATTATAGTATTCACATCCTATTTTATTTTAGGTGATGGGGAAGTTTGGTTCAATCAATTCGAATTTAATACAGTCGACGAAAGTCAAGTTCTAACTACTAACTATAGTGTTTATCCTATAAATGGAACATCATATTCTGGACAACTCGACCATCCAATTAATCTCTTTACATCATATTCTGTGACTACTGCTACCGTTGTTAATAACAATAACAATACCAAGGTCACCAAGGACTCCAGAGTGATTATTGGCACCACAATAGGTGGCTTTGTTGGCGGGATAATTGTGTCTGCGGTTGTGTTCATGACATACCAATGGTATAAAAACCGTAAATACATACCAACGCCGGCTGAAAGCCAAAGATAAAATTACTTAAGAATTTTTTTTAATATAATTTATATAAAGTTGTTTTTGAAATTATCGATATATATCAAATAGCATTCTAATATTATTTTTGTTTTTTTTTTTAGTTTTGAGATAAGAATATCATTTTGTATATTAATAAACGTCTTTGATTATCTATGTGAAAAATTAGAATTCGCTTGCGCTAAAAATGTTTATTTTTTCAGTTTCAGTAATACCAAAACGCATTAAAAAAAATAAAATTCATATTTTGTATATCTTGAGAATAGCATATCTTTATTTTTTAGATGAAAGATTATAGCAGTTTCAGTATACCAGGCAAAGTGTACGAAACTTCAGTCGAGACAGAAGAGATGAGAAAGAGAAAAACGAGAATATATGAGGTGAGATAGAGAAAGTGATTAGCCATTTTTCAAGCTAACTAAAGAAGTTTTTTCATTGTTTAAATATTTTTTCATCGCAAATATACACGCCAATATTTGTTGTTTTATTTAAACAATGAAAATTATACTTGCATTATTTAAAATGTGCGGGTATAGATGATGATAAGTAAATGGTTAATAATAATTATTATAATAGATAAAGAAATTTAATACAGTACTTATCGATAATTTTTTTTTTATAAAAAAGATAATATAAATATGTCGGAAGTAACTGTCGAAACCACCGAAACTATTTTGTTTCTCATCTATTTATACATATTCTATTTTATTGTGTTATTGTGATATGATATGCACTTAAAATAGTGGTAATATATAAAAATAAATAAAATTAGTTAGTTAACATGAAAAGATATTTATTCATATCACTTTATGAGTTTTTATTACATCTGTCTTATGTTTTATTATTAATTGTGGGAAAAAATGAAATATTTGCAAGTTTTTCCTTTAAAGTAAATAAAGTAGAACATATTTCTAAACTAAATTTTTCAACTGTTTTAAGTGATGCAAAAGTATTTGGATTTTATGACCCGCTAAAGCCATTAGAAAATTAATTCTTCAGTGGTAGAATTTATTAAAGATATTACTTAATTATATTGGAAATCCAAAGAATTTTTAATTTTCGATGAAATTAAGAACAAAAAAAAAAAATTTAACTCATTTATATAAAAATAGTTGATGCCTTCGGATTTTGTGTTTAACGAAACCATACAACAATTGAATGATTTAAGGCGTAAATTTAGTTCAAAGGAACTATGATAATATTTATTATAACGTTTAACACTAATGTTAAATTAATATACTACTTTTTTTAATTTTAATTTCCACTTTTTACTTCTTTTTGAGTTACTTGGTAATATTTTAATATAGATATTACTTTCAATTGCATCAACAGATCTTTTTTGCTAGATCTCTAAATCTAATATCAAAACATATGGGTATACCAAATTATTCTATTAGTCCTATTGATTCTATTGATTCTATTAATTCTTTTAATTTAATAATTTAATAATTTAACAATTGTATATAGGTAAATATTATTAGTTGTGGCAGTCTTAATGATGTAAGAATTTTAAATTATTATCTTTATATTATTATTATTTTATTATAATTTGATCCAGATGATAATTATAGCGCTCCTCAAAATGGTTATAATGTTTCTTTCGATAGTTTATTTAAGCAACTTAAAGAACCTAAAACAAAATTTAAAAAAATTGATTTGGGATAAAAATGATGATGAGTGTTTAAATAACAGTAATTTTTCTATTTGGCCATGGAAAGAAATAACTCTACGATCCTTTCAAATTTACAACTCAATGTGACTTTTGCTTACGAAAATCCTGAATCTTTATATCTTAAACTCAATTGGGCCACTGATAAATTTGCTGGAATATCAATTGCAAATTTAGCTTTTGATTCAATTAATAAAGCAGCATATCGAAATTTATAACTCCTGAAAATAATGAAATCATGATAGTAACGGAAATAATAATAATAATAAAGTTTTGTTAATCGGCTTTTACATCAGGTGATCGCGTGATGAATATGGCACTCAATTTTATAAATTGGATAAAATAATTTTCATTTCGTTTTATATAGTTTATATTAAAATAATTTCACAATACATTTTTTATATTTCAAACGTTTTGGAGATACAAAAAGCAGTGCTACATAACCATTTTAAATATGATTTTTTT